TGGATGTGCATGATTTGCTACAGTGTCCCTATTACCCAGCTTCCCTGGGGCCTCACCCGGTTCCTGGCACACAGTAGGTGTACAGTTAGTGTTTGCTGACTGACCAGCGCTCATAGCTAAGGGGCCGGCTCCTGCCTGCCACCTTTGGCAATAGTGGGGTGAGCAGCTCCTTTCTCTGGGCATGCACGATGCCCAGGGGGCCTGGGAGGCGAGGCGCACCCATGTAGGGCAGACTTGGTGCCCCACCAACCTTCGGGGGTCACTAGGCCTTGGTCCTTATAGTCCTCACCCGCCGCAGTGGGGCTCTGTGTACCTTCTGTGGGAGTCGGGGTGGTCGCTGCTGTCCAGATGCCACCGGGAGAAAACATCAGGGCTGCTGCCCCCAAACCTGCAGCTCTCTCAACTCCAGGTAGCGCCTGGCCCGGTGACTGCGGGCCAGGGACCCCGACCCTGACCCCTGACCCGGCACAGCAGCACTGAGGGAACGCATGGGATCATCTTGGAGGGTTGGCACACTGCCTGCCACGGTGCATTTGAGGAAGCTGAGACCTAGAGCAGAGACAGGTAGGACTCCCTGCTCTCAGGTGTGTAGTCAGCAGGGATGCAAGCGTGGCCCTGAGGTGGGTCCAGGACTCCACTTGCTTTTTCTGTGATGGCCCAGCCAGGAGAAAACAAAATGGCAAGAAAGAGGATGAGGTGGCTTGCTGTGTGACCACAGGCAGGTCTCTTTCCCTCTCTGGGCCTTGGTTTCCCCATCAACAGCAAATGAGGTACAGGACCTGTGACTGTCGAGAGTGCTTTTGTCCCTGAGGCTTTTGGTGTTACAAGCAAGTCACACGTGTGGCAGGGACGCTGGGGACGAGTGCACTTGTCTGTTTCAGTTCTGAGAAGACACCTGGTGTGGTGCTCAGGGAGGTCCAGATAGGGTGCTCCTTGGAGGAGGAAGCCGGTGGCTCCAGGCACAGCTCCTGTGAGGGGCACTCACCACACCGCTGGGTCAATCTGCCTGGCTGCCATGTTGGCAGGACTACGGGGCCGGCAGGACAGAGCTGTATGAGGCCCCAGGGCCCACGGAGGCAGTGCCGGGGCAGTGGCTGTGACGACTCAAGCATGTCACTTAGACAAGGAGTGGGCAGGGGCTTTGGGAGATCACCAGTCTTCTCCCTGAGAAGCGGCCCAAAACAGTGGCTGAGGCTGGTCTGGAGCCACACAGTCCCGTGGTCAAACCCAGCTCTGCCACTCGCTTGTCTTGTGGCTGCAGGTAGGTGGTGCTTCCTTTCCTGTGCCTCGGTTTACTCATCAACACCATGGGGACAGTGTCACAACGATCTCAATGAACTGGAAGGACTCCCAGGGATGAGGCACGCCAAGCAGGGGGCCCATGATGGGCGTACAACAGAGGCTGCTGTGAGCTCGGCACCAGCTCCGAACCCTGAGGGCCACGGGGGCGGGGAGGGGAAAGCAGGGCAACGGACTGGACATTCTGCAGAAGGACCAGCCAGAGGGCTTGAGAAAGCAAGCGCCACTTAGTGGAGAAGGTAGCTGTGTGTGTGCACACGCGTTGGGGCTGTTGCGCTAGGCTGAAAAGGAACTTAGGGCCACAGCAGCCAGCTGCCCGGTGCTAGACAGGGTCGTGGCCACTGTGGGCTCAGCTGCAGGGAAATGTGACTATGGACTGGGCGTCAGAGGTGAACATACAGACACAGAGTGAGCACGTGAACAAAGGCAGCAAGGAACCAAACGGCACTTGTAGCACCAGCTCCTTTTATCTAGCAGTGGACGCACACATATGCACACACATATGTGCACACACGCATGCACATACACACACACACACACACACACAAACACACACACACACGGAAAGGTGGAAGCCACTAATGAGGGGTAACCTGTGAGCAGTAAAACGTTAGAGCTTTGATTTTATTTTTGTTCATCTGAAGTTTCTACAGGATATATAGGCTGCTTTTGTAAATCCAGGCTCCAGAGCTGGAGGAGCTGGCCTCAAATGCAGCTCTCTGCCCCTTCCCGGAAGATGGCAGATGCCAAGAGACCTGCCATCAGAACGTGTCCAAAATTAGCTGGGATCCACGCAGGGCTGCGATGGGAATACCTTCTGGGTGCTAGACATGTGGTGAGGTGCCTCCTGAATGAACGACAATAAAAAGAGAGCCCCTGAGAGGCCGAGGGATCCAGGGGCCCAAGCACATGAGGTCAACTACGCCCTTTGACCTAGAACTGCCACCAAATGCGCTGGGTTGCCATGGCCCATGGCCATGTTCTCACGGGGGGGAAAAAGTCCTCACCCAACTTGATATGGTGGCATATGCCTGTAATCCCAGCACTTGGGAAGCTGAGGCAGGAGGATTGCTGGGAGTTTGAGGCCGGCCTGGGCTACATAGTGAGTTAAAGGCCAGCCTGAACTTCACAGGGACAGCCTGTCTCAAAAAAAAAAAAAAAAAAAACAAAAAAAAAAAACCTCACTTTTGGGAGTCTGTGTCCCACTAGACCTGTCCCTGGGCTGAAAGTTCAGTGAACTCAAGGCTGTGCAGGTGGCTATGAAATCCACAGGCTGGAGTATTGCTGCCTGGGGAGGAGTGCTGTCCTCTGCCGGGCTAAGGGGCCACTAGGGCTGAGTGCTGGTTCTCTGCCGAGGAAGGCGGGAGGCAGCCGAGCTGGGTGGCACTGGCTGCGTTTCACTGGCTGCGTTTCACTGGCTGTGTTTCTCCAACAGTGAACCGAGGGCTCTAGACCTTGGGGCTCTGGACCAACGAGGTTGACACTGCCAACCAGCTGTGTGTGCCATCCTGGGGCATCTGGGCTCTCACACTATGCTGGCTGACAGTGCCAGCTTCATTGGTTGAGAGCCCCAAGGCTGAGACACCTTGGTTCACTGTTGGTGAAACACAGCTAGTGCTAACTGGTTGGACATCCTTATTTTTCAGCACAAAACAATTACAATAGGGAGTATTTACTGAGCACTTACAATGTGTCAGGCACAGCACCTTCTGTGCACCTTCCCATGCAACCCCCTTGAAGCTTCTATAAGGGAGGGACAGTTATTCTCATTCTCTAGACGACAGTGCAGCTCCAAGGTGAACTGGGTGCCCAAGGTCATGTGGCTCCCAGGTCACAGCTGAAACCCAGCCCGGGCAGAGCTGAATGCTCAACCACAGGGCTGGTCTCTGGAGATAATCTCAGGGCCCTCTCGCTCAGCATCCTCAGCCTCAGCTGTATACCCGGGGCACCCAGGGACTTTAAGAAGATACTGGCAGTGGTTCAGCCAAGAAGGGGTGACTGCAACATGTGCAAATGTCACATCAAGGACAGGTAACCAGGAATGGGAGGCACAAGGTCCATAGGCCAAGTGAATAGGGTTGGCCCCTGGCCTCTGCTCCAGGGCTGACACCCTGTCTGCAGGGCGAGAGAGAGAGGGCCTCAGGCAACGGGTGGTCTCTGGGGGTCCTCGCCTCCAGACACCTTCACACTCCCAGGTCTGCCGTGCACCACCTCACCTCCTGCAGGCTGGACAGCAGCTATCAACAGCATCACCAAGACCAGGGCCTCTTGGTATGGGCTGCTCCTCTTTTTTTTTTTTTTCCTTTTTTTGGTCTTTTTGAGACAGGGTCTCACTATGCAGTTCAGGCTGGCCTTCAGCTCACTTTGTAACCCAAGCTGGTCTCAAACTCACAACGATCCTCCTGCCTCAGCCTCCCAAGGGCTGGGATTACAGGTGTGCACCACCATGCCCGGCTGGGTTGCTCCTCCAAATTGAGCAGGGAAAAAAATACTGCCCAGGCGGTAGACCCGTGTGCCTGAGTACCCCTGAATCCAGAGGAAATGATGAGGATCAGCACGGCACACTGCACAACCACAACCCCCGCGTGCAGAGCCAGGCCAGATCCCAGCACATTGAAGGTGGGCTCCAGAGTGAAACTGTCGGTCTTGGTTATTTCTCTCACTGCTGGGACAAACTACCCGACACCAAAGTTAAAGGAGGAAAGGTTTTTTAGCTCACAGTTTGTAGAGGTTCCAGTCCATCATCAGCTGGCTCTACGGCAGGGTGGCACACGGCAGAGGGGCATCACAGAGGAGAAACAGTTCATGGCGGGCAGAAGGTAGCAAAGCAAGCAAGCAAGGGATGAGACAAACCTTCTTCTGTTGCTTATATTGTACACTGGCTACCGGGATTGGGGCTGTGCCAAACCAATCAGTAGACTTACTCAGTCGTCACACACCCTTAGTCCCGGTATCACACACTCTATACTCAGCCACCTCTGAAAAGCCCCACGGAGGATGGCGGGAAGCTTTGGGTCCAAGCTGGGCCGGGTGTCCTTCCTATTGCTTTCATGTTCCTGGAAGTGACAGGGCGTGGGGCTGGAACTCAGCTCTGTTCTCTGGCCAGTTCCATCCCGGTCAGCTCCCAGTCACCCTCCTGGTGAGGACACTGGGGAAGGCACCAGCTGCCCCCTAGTGGCCAAGGGCAAACACGCACAGAGCCGCAGGAACAAAATCCGGTGTCCCCTACTCCTTACAGACGCATGGCTCCCAGGGGTTCTGTGGGCAACACACTAGTTATAAGCGTTTTCCATGCACTGCAGTTTTAGAAGTCACACCGCTTGGCAATACAAAGTTCAAATGGGACCAGGTGGGCGCCAGGTAGGCTCATTTTGGGAAGAAAGAGATGTCCCGGCTCCCCAGGCTCACAAAGCCATGTGCCTTGGTGCTGCTTGTGGTGCGGGAGCTGGGAGCTGACCGGTCCTGTTCTGGGAAAGCAGCCTGGTGTGCTGGGCCCCAGTGCCATGGCCTGGCAGAGCGGTCTCCACGCCTGTCACCAAGGCCCATCTGGGAAAACCCACCCCATCCCCGAGATGCAAGGTGACCCACAGCCCTCATTTCCATTCATTCCTTAAGAATCCCACCCGGAGAAGGGGCCGGAGGAAGGCATCGGGGGTCTGAGTCCTCCCACCCCCGGCTTTCCGGACACGTGTGAAGCGCTGTTTACGCAAGTTCTTTTTATTACCATCTGCCACCTTTTTTGCAAACTGCTCTGGCATGGGTGGGAGTCAGCCCACATCCCCGCTGCCTTCACTCCGCCTGCCTTGGCTGAGGACAGAAGGCAAAGGCCACCGCCCTGGGGCACAGCCAGGTGGGAGGTCAGGCCGCACAAACTGCTGCGTGGCGCTGCCACACCAGCGGTGTGACAAGGAACAGGGGCCAGCCTGCTGGGTCGGGAGGGCCTCCTGGAGGAGGGAGGAAGGGGCTAGGCCCTGAGGCTAGCGGAAGTGGGGAGGCAGAGGGAGAGAAGGCACACTGTGCTGGGGCCAGATCTGCATCCCTGCAGCCAGGCTGGGGAGACTGAGGCACACGCAGGGCGCAGACGGACAGAACCATGATGGCTCTGCGGCTGTCGAGGAAACCCCCGCCCCCATCTTGGATCTGCCGTCTCAGGGGACCCCAGGGGAGCCCCGCCACTGGGACTCAGGGGGCACCGCCAGGAGCAAGGGCAGTAAGGAGGGGCTGGCGGCCTCTGCGGCAGTGTCAGGGGCCGTGTGGTGCCGGTCCATGCGGGGCGAACTCTGCATCCAGAAGAATCTCTGCAGGGCTGAAGCATCGTGCGCTCCTCTCAGAGGCCACCCAGGCCCTGGCGGACGGGGCCACTCAGGGAGGCGGCCGAGTGCACGGAGACGCCGGGGGCCCCAATGCTGGTCTCCCAGCAGTCGAACCTGCAGTCGGTCAGCGCCTGCTTCGCAGCCTCCACTTCAGCCCGCTCCAGATCTGGGGGAAGGCAGGTCACCACGACAGCTGTGAGCTCCCGGCTCAAGGGATGTTCACGCCACTCCAGGGAGAGGCCTAAGGTGCGGGGTGTCGGCCGTGACCACACCTTGCCAACAGGCTCACGGCTCAGAGGCTCCTGTGGCCCCCATGCCCTGGGCACACAGGGCCCTGTGCCCACCCAGCGGTCAGGTGCCAGTTAAACAGACAGGCTCTTCTGTCCCGTGGACCTGGCCTTGCCATATACTGGCCACATGGCTCTGACAAGGGACCTCGCTCTCCTCTCAGGAGACCTCCTGAGGGAATGGGGACAATGGTCCTGAGCCCCGGGGTCACCAGGAGGCTGAGATGGGCAGTACAGTGCTGGCATCACCGGCCGTGAGCAGGAATCTATGCCAGGGCCTGGGAGCATGGCTGCCTCCTGAGGCTGAGGTGTCTCAGCTGGGGGCAAGAGGACGTCTCGAAGGCCCAGAGGCTCAGCATCGAGGGCAGGGAAGTGTAAACAGGAAGGAGAAAGGGAGAGATCCAAGAGGAATGGGGCCGTATCTCCAAAGGGCCAGATGCGGTCTGGGCGGTAAAACCCTTGCAGTGCTCCTATGCTCGGTCCTCTTTCTCCCCAAGGCCGCCAAGAGAGAAAGCCCTTCATCCTGCAGCAAGATCAACCCCCCTGGCCACGTCATGAGGGAGCAGGGACGAGGGTGGGGGAGACTGATGAGCAATAGTTTGACCAGTAGGCGCTCTCATCCTTCTTCTACCAGAGAGGAAACAAAGGCTCAGATAGGTTAACTAACTTGCCCAAGGCCACACTGCAGAGCTGAGACTTGTTCCTGGGCCTCTGTTCCCTCCCCAGGGGACTCCTTCAGGTGGAGCCTTCTTGAGAGTCCACTGGCTTCCCGGCCCGCCCCAGTACCTGGCTTCAGGAGCGTGATGCCACAGCCACCGCCACCCGCGCCAGTCAGCTTGCTGTGCAGTCCATGGGCCGCGGTCACCTGGCAGAGCTGGTCCAGAGAGGTGTGGCCCACGCCGAGGGCATTCAGGTGGTGCTGGTTCATGTCGATGAGCTCCTGGGGGAGAAGGGGCCTTGTGTTCCCTCTTGGCTTGCCTGGGCCCCAGTCCTCCCCGACCCACACATCCGCCCAGCCCTCAGTGGCCATGGATGCGGGACGGCTAGTGCTCTGTTTACCGTCGCATGTCCCTCTCCACTGCTGAAAAGACCCTTCCCTCCTGCAGGACTTCCCATGGGGCTTGATGGCAGAGGTCACCCTCCCACCAGGTGGTGAGTACCGACCCTAGATAGCCCTGACCTAGAAGCCTCTGGCCCTCGTCACTGGCCAAGCATGGGCGTGAGACCCCAGGCTGGGCCAGCTGTGGCCCTCTGGGGCTTTTCTCTGCCTTTTCGTCAGCAGCTGCTGAAACTTCAGACACAGGCTGCCCAAATTTCCTGCCCCGATACATGGCCACAGATTACATGAAAGATGGATTCTCAGCCACACGGTTTCAACCACCGGACCAAGCTATGCCTGAAGCTGTTCTTTCCGCCAATATATTCCTTTTCTGCAGAAGCCTGGTTGAAATAGATTTCTAGCATTTGCAAAAAAAAAAAAGTGTCAAACAATATACCATCCCACAGCTGGCTCAGGGACAGATGTTCAGAGTAGGAACTGGGTTATATTTCCAGCAAGGTCATGAGTAGAGGAAATAGCTAAATATTTGCCTAGGTTTCTTTAATTATGCATAATGAGATTCCTGCTCTTCAAGGGTCAAACAAAATGTATGCGGATGGAATAAGAAAACCAACAGCAGGGGCTGGGGATTTAGCTCAGCGGCAAAAGCGCCTGCCTGGCAAGCGCAAGGTCGTGAGTTCGGTTCCCGGTCCTGGAGAAAAACCAAAAACCAAAACCAGAAAACCAACAGCTACCACTGCCCCAAATGTGCTGTTTACATTTCATTCACCGAACACACACAGCACTGAGGATGAGCTCCCACCCAGGCCCTGCCAAGAAGGTCACGGCGGGTGCTCTGCAGCCAGGTGGGCTGGGTTTGGGCCTCAGCTCTGCCCCTTCTTGGTCCTATGTCCTGGGCTCTGGTCCTTGGCTCCGAGTTTGAGCTGGAAATGGGGCCATGAGAGCGCCTGTCTGCCTCATTACCACGAGGAAAAAATGAGGTGGAGCTTTTGTACGATGTCTGATATAAGGTAAGTGCGCTGCAAACATCACCTGCTATGAGGATTTTTATGGGTATGTTACCATCAACCCCATTTTACAAAGGGGGAAATAGACTCACACGTAAGTGCCTTACCTGAGGTGACGGAGCTAGGAAGGCAGTGGGAAAGCTAGTGTGGGAAAGCCTTCTGCCTGACACAGAGCTCTGGTCTACCCGCCTCTGCGAGCACCTGGTGTCCCTGCCACCACCCACTTCCTTGGGAACAAGGGGGTTTATGCTGTTTGGCTCGACAGTGCGGGGCCCTGCTCCAGGGCAGCGGAGTGTCTATGTGAGATGCCAATCACCGAGCCATCTCTGCTGAGGCCTATCAGGCGTTCCTGCCCACAGCCAGCTGACTGGGCAGGGCTGGGCCGGCTCTCCGCCCCCGCCCCCCGCTCACCCCAGGCCCTCCTTCCGCCCCCAGCACTTCTGACAAATGAGCAGACAGGCTTGATGGCCGGGTGGCAGCCCCGGGTGCCTCTCCCCAGCCCGGCGGGCTGCGTGTGAGAGAAGACTTCTGGGGGCCTCTCTCTGCGCCTGAGCGCCAGGTGTCACGTTGCCGAGGCAGGTTCCAGACACCTGTCACATTCTGATCCAAAATCTGTCAAGGATCAGATGACAGGCTGTGACACAGGAGAACAGCTCGCTGGTTTGAGTGCAAAGCTGTCCAGGAGCTGAGCTGCACATTTCAATGGCTGCCATCGCCAAAAATATACACAATGTATAATCAACGCGCTGTTCCGCGGCATTCTCCGGGGGCTCAACAGGGTAGATTTCAGGCAGTACTCTATCATTATTAATTTCCTACTCAGGGGGACATGTTCCCTCCTCTCTCTGCGGAGGGAATCAAGAGCCAAGAAGGCAAAGGCTGGGGAACGGAGGCAGCCAGTTGGGGAATGAGGGCAAAAGCACAGGGATTACATGAAGGCCCTGCGCCCAGCACACAGTAGGTGCTCGTCAAAGATGTGCAAATAAGCCAGGTGTAGTGGCACATGCCAATAATCCCAGCTACTCAGGAGGATGAGGCAGGAGGATCACAAGTTTGAGGCCAGCTTGGGTAACTTAGTAGATCCCCTATTTTAAAAAAGGAAGTTTTTAAAAGGGGCTGGGGATGTAGCTCGGCACTCCTCAGGTTCAATTCCCCCGGCAGGGGAAAGAAAAAAACTGTTGAATAGAGGAATGAGCAAGTCAGTCAGTTTGATTCATCTCAGTCACTTACTAACTAGATAACCTAGGAGGAAGCCATTCTCTTTAGGCCTCAGTTTTTACACCTGTGAAGTGGGGGAACAGGCTTGCTTCACAGGCTAGTTGCTGTGGGGAGCCACTGAGGAATCTTAGGTAAAAGGCTCAGTTTACCGGAAGCCTCTGTGTGTGACAGGGGCTGGGGACTCAGGGGCCCACAGGGGCAGAGAGGTACACAGGCAACGACTGCAGCAGCCAGACAAGGCACAGCGGTAGGGACCATGACGAGACGGAGACTACAAGGCCCCTTTCAGGGGGAGCCCCGCCTGTACCTCCGTTCACTGCCGCTGCCCAGCCACGCCATTCCTGAAGTGAGGCCAGATGGCTTTGTGACGTCACCCACATTTACGGGGCCAGATGGACCATGTCTGAGCAGGAGCCCTCTGGTCCCCTGAGCTGGTGGCACACCAGGCGCTGCGCCGTGCGTCACCCAGGGGGCTCAGAGGAGGCTTAAGACATTCATGAGGCCACCCGGCAAGCAGAGGGAGCTGGGCTTACATGACCCGCTCAGATCCAAAGCCTTACAGGAGAATTACGCAAAGGGTTATGCCGGTGGGGTTACGACAAAAAAACCTTCTGTGGCCAGTCCGACCCAAAGCAGGAAAGTGCATGTACACAGCAGCAGCAGCAGCAGGCGCAGGCCGGGCAGGGGTCGCTCCTGGACCACAGAGCCCCTGTGCAGCAGCAGCCCAGGACACCTGCCCCGCGCGCACCCCAAACCTGGCCCGTGGCGCCTGCTGTGCGCCAGCACTGCCGAGCACTTCCGAATGACTCGGGACAACTCTGAAAGAAGACACGCCTGCTGGTGTGTGTGTACACCAACGCTGGCCCGGGCACCACGATTCTGACAGCAAGGGCCAGAGGCACGGCCTGGCTGCTCTGTTTTCTGGGAGACCCCGAGCAGCAGGGGGAGGGGACTCGCCTTGGGTAGCAGTGAGCCGTGGGCAGCCAGGCGTCCGCAGGTGCATCCTTACCTCCAACACGAGGTACTGCTCCGGGGCCGGGGCTGCCGCCATCTCTGCTAGCACGCGCTCACACTCGCGGGATATGGCATCTATTGAGGTCAGGAGTGGGGCCACGATCTCTGGGAACTGCAGGGAAAGGAGGGTGGGCTATGAGCCTAAGGCAAGGGCAGGCGGACCCTGAAGAGCAGCTCAGCAGGGGAGCGGAGGGAGGGAAGACTCCACTGGCCTCGCAAACCTCTCCTTCCAGCCTGGCTTTTGCCCTGCTGCTGTTTCTGATATCAGGAAGCGGACCTTCGCTACCAAGCCAGCATGATAAACGAGCCTGGTCACTGTTGTTAGGGAATCCCATCCTGCCTTCGGACCAGGGTACAGGAACCGCAATACCTTCCTTTCTGCCCAAGCCGCCTCCCCAAGTTTCCCTGTCCCCACCATGCCACCACAGGACCTATCCACAGCCCATCAGCCAGAGGGGGAGCTCGGGAATCCACACACGACTCTGCCCTGCCCTGCCTGAAGGCCGCCCAGCAAGGAAACAAGACGTACCTTGATCAGCCTGTTCCTGACACCAGCCACAAGGGCCTTGGTGCTTCGTGGGATCTTGGTGTTGGTCAGCAGGATCTGGAGGGCTGGGGGCCTGTAGGGGGAAGAGGAGACAGGACGGAGGAGCTGGATCAGGATAGGGAGCGATCTGGGACTCCAGCCCATTGTGATACACAGAAGGAAGCGGAGGCCTAGAGAGAGGACATCAGACCGGGGAACACGTAGGCCGCATCAGTGGCCGCAGCCATCTCTCCACTCAGTCCCTGGGCAGACGGACACGGGCCCTCGGCTCCTCACTCACTTGCTCCCTCATTCATGCAATGTCAACTGGGTGCCTCCGTGTGCTGGGCACACACGAGGGAGCCCGGCTCAGCCTGAGGACTGGGGCAGAGGGGAGAGGGAGAAGGTTCTCGAAGGCTTCCCATGAGAATGGAGGGCAGGAAGCACCAGGCAAAGGCAGGAAGCACGAGTATCTCCAGCAGGACCGTGGCGAGCGTGAAGCCCGAAGGGGGTGGGCACGGCACATCCACCCCACGGCAAGGGGGCCGGGGCCAGTCCTGTGGGCCATCCAGAGGGCACTGGAGATGAGAAAAAGGTACAGCTGGACCTGGGATGGCCTGGCATGGGGTCTGGGGAGACACCCACCAGCCTGTGCCATGCTGGCTAGGCATCCCTGCTCCAAAGTGCTCAGGAGCAGTCACGTTCCAGGTTGGAGAGGGTCTGGATTTCGGAGTATCTGCATAGGCTTTCCCGGCTGAGCGGCCCTAGTCAGAAGACGGTCAATGCCGGAGCGAGAGAGGGAAGCAGGAGGGTAGAGAATGGCTCCATTCCTGTCCCTCCTCCAAGGTGTCCGGTGGCCCAGGCACAAAACGAGCTGTGGCTGCGGGGAGTTGGGGCTGTGCACCCCTTCCTAAAGCCATAGTCCCCACTGTCCATGTGCTGAGCTGGCTCTGGGGACCCAAACCTCCCTACCTGTCATCTAATCTGCTTTTCACAGTGCTGCAGGCCAGGGCCAGAGGATGAGAATCTGGATGTGCCCTGGCCTGAGACGGCTGGAGGCGCAGACCCCTGGACACCTTTATTCAAGCTCTCTCCACTCTCTAGATTATAAAATCCAGCAGGGCTGGAAAGGGCTGCCGGAGACCTGCTTTATCTCACCGCCGTAAGCCCATGAAATTAATATCGATTCTCAGCCTTGGAGGCTGGCTCTCTTTCTCCTTTTTGTACTTTACAAAAGATGAACATTCTATTTGGCTTTTCTCTTCCCTTTAAAGACAAGCTGTTGCTCAAAAGGGCAGCGTTCTGGGAGGCCACATCTTGATCCACTTCACAAACAATGCGTTTTTTCATGGAGATGCTGTGCGTGCTTCAGGGGGGAAGGGCCCTTCTTTAAGCCATCCGCGGGATTAATGTGGAGCCGGCGCCCGGCCCCTCAGAGGACCTGCCATCTGCTCGCTACGGGGCCCTGCAGCAAGCAGCAAAGGTCGCTGTGCTCTGTTCCCACCCAGGGGGCGGAGAGGAGGGGCTGTGGGTCGCATCTTCATCTTTCTCAGACAAGTCCTCCATGAATGGGCCTGCCGCCAGCCCCATAAAACCCAGGGCTCCAATGACATCCTGGGACCCCACTCAGGGATCTGCCCTGGAAGCACTTATGTCATCTGGGCCTGGCCACCTCTGACCTCACCTCCTCTCCTCTCTCCCCCAGCGCTCACAAGTCATCCTGCCTTCCTCACTGCTGCACTACACACCTGCCTCTCCTGCCCCAGGACCTTTGCACTTGCATTCCCCCTGCCCCTCCTCCCATAGCCACATGACTCATTTTTATTTCATCAGGTCGCTGCTCTAGTATTTCCTCGACAGAGGGCCTCTGGGCACCTCCTCCTATCACCTTCCCCTTTCATGCTGGAGTTCACTCTTGAGTGCCCCTGCTTTGCTTCCCGAGCACAGCAACTTCCTGACCAGTGCTCAAAAGCTGGCTGTCTCCTTAACAACTCTGAGTCCTGTGCAGGCGGAACTTTCTCTCGTCCCTCCTGAGCACAGCACAGAGCAGGCGCTGGGTGGTATCTTGGAACAGATGAATTGATTAGTCAGCAAACACCTAGGCACTTCAGGATGCTTTTTCTGATACACAAATGAGATGACGGAGACCTCAGTGGAAGTGACCCAGCCAAGGGCACCGTGCAGCTAATGGCAGGGGCAGAGCATAAACCACGCCAGGGATACTACAGCTCTGCCTGCCACAGCAGGGACAAGCAGAGCTCCATCTCCACTGCACAGCTCCTGCCTCCCCAGTACGCTGCTCGCTCGAAGCTGGCTTCCCCTCCAGTGCTTACGGTACAACTGGCTCCACGGGCACCGGACAGACGGCACATGCCTCTGCTTTCCTCCGGATCCCACGTCCAGCCTCTTGCTGTCACCCATCGCAGCCTTGGGATGCTCTGACTGCCCTCAACTCCAAGGTACCCCCTTGCCCACGTGGACCAGGCCAGCTTGCAAAGCTGCCAGCTTGCCCACTCTAGAGCCCAGGGCTCCCCTGGCCATCACCCCTCACACAGGCAGGCCAAGGAAGCGATTCCATGCTCCTGAGCCACTCTGCTTCCCTCCCCGTGCAGACAGAGGCTGGTACCAAAAGGGTTTTGCCTTCCGGGGACCCTAAGCAAAGTTGTGAGGCATTTTTGACTGTCACAGATGAGAAGCCTACCGGCTTCAATGAGAAGAGACCAGGGATGCTGCTGAACATCCTTCAACACACGGGATAGCCCGGCCACAGTGAATGACCTGGCCCCAAACGTCATCAACAGCGCTGAAGCTGAGAAGCCTGACACAGGCCAGGGAAGGGATGGCTTAGCTCTTGGAAGCCAGCAGGGCCAGATGGAAGTTCCCCCGGGTGCAGACAGGGGCTGAGGGGGTACTGTGACAATCCAGATGTTGAGGTGCTAATGGGCCAGCTGCCCTCCACAAAAGATGCCCCAGTGCAAAGAACCAAGAGACAGTATCAGACCCTGCCAGACACAAAGAGACCCACTGAGGCAGAGAGGTGCCCAGGAACAAACACTGCCACCCAGTGTGGAAGCATGAAAAAGGCACCTAGCTCCTGGTTGGTGCAGATTTAACTTCCTGCATCTGACACTTCCAGCACGGGTGCACACAGAACTGAGGATGCTATCGTTTAATATGCATGCTTGTCCTATTTGCTCCAGAGGGTGGGGTTAAAGAAACACACAAAATGGGCCAAGCTTTGCCAAGTTGCCCCTCTGCACTAGGCTTCCCAAAGTGGGCTTGGCTGTGCCTTGGCTTTGTGAGTCTCCAATAAGGCAACTATCACATTGTGTTATGGTGGCTTTTGTGTGCCCGTCTGTCCCGCCTCTACCGCCCGGCTGGGCTGTGGGCACTGGGAAACTGTCCAAAGTCCACCTCTACATCCCCAGGCTCCGGGATGCGCCACGAGGAACACAAGAAGGTACCACTGAGTGAAGAGACAGACGAGGGCACAGATGAGCCAGCAGCCAGGGTCTGGGGACAGTACTTTCTGGAAGGTGTAGGGAAGGCCACACAAGTCCCCTCTCATCTCCCGTAACTGAAGAGCTGGTGTGGAGGAGAAAGAGAAACCGCCAGGTCTTCGCTGAGTTGGGTCCTCAGAGGCAGCACACTGTGAGGGCCATGGCAGGGCGGGAAGCCCAGGGACCCCTGCCTCCGTAGCGCTCTCCCCCGACCTGTGGATGTGGATGCTCTACCCGGTTACCTGTTTAGGCATGAAATCTTCCCCTGCTGGTATCGGAGGGCTCCTCCTAGAGAGAACAACGAGCCAGTTAGGGAGGAAAAGCTCTGCAGAGGGGCTGGACTGGGGGTTGGGCCACTGTGGGTTGGGCTCAGAGTGTGGCCCACGGGGGAACAGGCCGCGCATGCTCAGCTCAAGTTTCGGCTGTTAAGGGCCTACAGGCAAGAAGGGCCTCGAGCCATGCTAGGAGGCTCTCACCAGGCCTGAGGCTTTTGGGTTCTTCCCTCTCTCTGGGCTGCCCAATTTCCCAGCACCAGGCTCATGAGGTCAAGTGTCTACACAGAGGGGCCCTGGGTGGGGCTTGCAAAGTGTGTAGCAGCGGCTGGGCAGCTTGAGCATGCAGACCTCCCTGAGGCTCACTGAGGCTAATTCAGGGGGTACGAGGTAGATCCCTAAGATTTTGCCCTTTTCCTCAGAATCCACTGATGCCATTCATCCCAAGCCAACAAGGCCAGGGCATCTACTAGTGCAATAAGACGCTTAATAACACAAATAAAGGGGGCTGGGGATTTAGCTCAGCGGCACAGCGCCTGCCTGGCAAGTGCAAGGTTGTGAGTTCAATTCCCGGTACCGGAAAAACAACAACAACAACAAAAAAACCTCCTGCAAAAAAACCAAAAAAATAATACAAATAAAGATCGCGAGCCCACACACACCTACCCCAGGTGCTGATGGCATTGTCCACGCCGGAGGGGTTCCCGTGGATCACCCTCTCCCCACGGAAGGCCCAATGGTTAATTAACTCCAAATCCTCCTCAGGCCACCTGGAGACACAGAAACACATCTTTACGGTGGTGGTGGTGGTGACGGCGCAGTGGGGTCACCTCCGGCAGCAGAGGGCAAGGGCTGCAGGGTGAGTGTGGTGGAGGACAGAGGCAAAAGGCTGGGCCCATGAGCTCGGGGAAGAGCAAAGTGGTGTGGAGCCTCTCAGCTTGAGACCGAGCCAAACCTCCTTCCCCTTCCCTCCCAAACTGCCGGGTGCGGCAGGAAACACCTGGGCCTTCAGGTGCCGCAGTCTTCCTCCATCTCCCCCTGGCTGAGCGCCTCTATGCCCATCACAGCCCTCTGAGCCTCGCTCTCCTCAGCAGGGAACAGCTGACTCCACCCTCCTCAGAGGCTGGGTGTGTGTGTGGCTAAGGCTGGTGACGCACCCTACAAGGTGTTCACATGCAGCAGGTGGGAGATGGGACTGTACGGGACCTCTCCGTAGGAGCCAGCTCCCAAGCCAGGCCCGCCTTCGGGAAGAATGAACCGAGGGGCATGCTTCCCAGGGCCCTGGCAGCAGATCTAACGCGTGATCATTATGCACTGGAGCTCCACAGAGGCCAGGCTGACGGAGCCATCTCCAAGTCTCTCTGAAGCACTAAGTGCTTTCTTCAGAGCAACCACTCCTTTGCCCTGCAGCCTTGGGCAAGTCAATTACCCACTCTGAGCAGGACTTCACGGCCCTGCAACTCACCCAGCAGCTGAAGGGCTGTGGTTAAAGACAAGTTAACCCTGGCTAATCCGTTTAGCACCCTGCACATAGCTTTGTGCTGAACACTTTCTCAAATGGACCAGCTCCGTCACTGTCACCATTCCCCCACAGGGGGTGTGTGGTTATAAAAACCCTTCACACAGAAGGGGAAACTGAGGCTCCGGAGGGTAAAATAGCCACATCGGTGCTTACAGCCACATCATAACCACACAGGTCTGAACCACTGAACTTCACGGTAATTACGAGATTCACTCATTCTCCCAATATCAACTGAGCAACTACTACCGTATGTGCCTGTAACGGAGCTCACAGCAGGAGGAAACAGACATGGTCCCTGACTTCTCGGAGCCTGGAGTCTACCGGTGAGAGCAGAAGTCAGTGAACAATCAGTATCTGGCACTGAACGCCACAGCTCAGGGGAGTGCAGGCAGCTGAGTAGAGCACACCCTGTGCCCCAAGGGGGAAGCGGCCTGGGGGTGAGGGGAGCCAGCCAGGCACAACGACAGGGACGGCACTGCAGCCAAGGCACCAGCTGCTGCAGTGCCTGGGACTGGACACAGCTGGCCCTGTCCAGGAAGCAAAAGGCAGCAGTGTCCCAGCGAAGAGGTGAGGGGTGGAGGAGAAAGGCCTGCAGTCACCAACCAGGCCCAGGCCTAGGCCCTGCTCTTTCTTACTCTGTGTGAAGTTCCTTCTTCAGAGGCTCAGACCAAGCCTTAAGAGGACCCGGGGCTTGGGTTCCTCTGGGCTCAGAAATGCCAGCCGATAGGGTAGGGCGGGGCTGCTCCCCATAGGTCCTGCAGAGCAGGTAGGTGCTCAGGGCGGGCAGGAGAACTGGCCAGAAGCAGCATGAGACAGACCACACGCCCACACCACACACAGGTACACACAGAGCTACCCTCTTCCCTTTGAAAAGCAGAGCCAGGTTGTTGGCCCTCACGTGGGGGTCTGTTCAGGAGACTCGGGCCAGCAGGCCCTCACTGGTCTGTATGGCCAGCGATCGGCCCACAGTAACGAGCAGCTGTCTCCAAGGCGCTCTCGCCAGTCACCACCTCACCCCAGCATCACCAAAGGGCAAGGAAGGGTCCCCAAGGAGCCACGGGTCAGGCCCCTGACTTCCTGATGAGGAAACAGAGCTTCAGGGAGAAGAGGTCGCCCAAGGCCACGCAGGAGTTAACAGGCAAAGCCTCTGCAATCCTTGACAACAGCAGCCTGGTGCTAACTGGGGCACAATCTCTCGTTGCTTCCTGACTCTTCCCTTGACCAACAGTGGCCTCTACCGCATCTCCCATGCCATGTCTTACACACATGGAGCCACTCGGAACTACTGTGCGCAGCCCACAGACCTGGCCTGTGAGGATGAAGGCACTGCTGCGACTCAGGCTGAGATCCGCTGTATTTCAACCTACAGGTCTCAGGAAAGGAATTACCAGATGTGACAGGAACCCTAAAAGGGACCAACAGAGCCACGGGAAACAACCGTGGCCTTTTCATGCCTGAGAAGAAATAGTTCAAACCAGACTCAGGCGGACAGAGCTCTTCAGCCACAGACCAGAGTGCTGCTGGTCAGGGAGTCTGGCTCCGTTTGTGGCCCGCTAGGGCTTGTGAGGTGGTGACACAGCTATGTCCATGCTGGCACCCAGGGCCATCTGAGTGCCTTCTCTGATAGCTGGGAGACAGAAGAGACCCGCAGCCCACTTGGATCGGCACCGCTGAGCTCCACACGGCTGCTACCAGCTCCCCAGTGGGGTAGGTCACCCCCCGCCCCCACGACACAGGGCCCTCAGAGATGCTTCAAAGTGAGGCTGCCAGGGGGCTTCTGGGCGTCCCCCAATGCCGCAGGCCACGGGTAAACTGCACAGCTGCTCACATTGGGAGGGTTCTCTTGGAGAATCCACAGGGGACAGAAACAATCAGCCACCAGTGAGGACCGAGACACTCCCTCCACAGGCACGAAGGTGAGGACCTGACAGACACACCTCCTGATTTTTTAGCACACTGCACTTTTTTTTCTGTGTCTGGTCTGGCCTCACAATAACCCCTCAGGTATTCTCATTAGCATTCAGAGGATGAGGATGCTCCGAGGGGAGCAGGGACCAGGCCAAGGTCCTACAGCAAGTCAGCGCAGAGGTGCAAGGGTTTGTCTAGCCCACTGCCAGCTAAATAGACTCAAGTTCTTTCTGTCACACCACAGGTACCTGAACCCCAAACAGCAAAGATGGGGGTGAGAGACAGAGCACAGGAATAAAGAGCTCAGTCTTTGGGTTCAGACATCCTGCTTTCCCATCGTTAGCTGTACAGCCCTGGGCCAGCCATCTGGCCTCGCTAGGCCTCGTTCTCCTCATCTGGAAAATGCCCACTAGTCAGATTTCACCTCACAGTGGGATGGCAAGGTCTGGGGGTTGGGGAGACTCTGACTTGAGTCCTGACATGCCAGAAGGACACTGACCAGGGCGAGAACTGTGATCACCTGCTGATGCTGTCCCCGTCCTGCAGCGGATTAGAGATGTCCTCACATGCGATCAGGAGAGCGGCTGCCAGGCATACGGAGTAGGCGGCACTGGAGCCCAAGCCAGCCCCAGGGGGCAGCTCCGACCACACGGTAATGTCCAGGCTCGGCAGGGTCCTGAAATACACCCGGGTGCAAGGTGTGACTCTCTCAAAGGGCAGAGAGGACAGTGTTGAAGTCAGGGCTGGGGACCAGCACTGGACATTGGCAGGGACTGACTCGGAGATTTCCTGATCCCCCAAGCCAACCCCACAGGACGGCAGGGGTTCATGATGAATCAGAACCAGGAAACAGGTCCTAGATTCATCTAAACCACTGTCCCCAGTGTGAGCACCGGGGTCTGCTTGGGAGAGCCGGGAAGTTTGGAATCACAGCCGTGGACGTGTGCTTCCCCAAGCACGATCTGTCAAACTTCATGATCAGTAATTTCCACTGAGCGCTTTTCTCAATTTCCAAGCAGAAAGACTAACACTGGCTGGGTGTGGTGGCACAAGCCTATAAGCCCAGCACTCTGGAAGGCTGAGGCAGGAGGGTCACACAAAACCAAGCCCAGCCTGGGCACCTTACCAAAACTCCATCTCAAAACAACAAGAGGCAGGGAATACAGAACAGCGCAAAGTCCTTGAGTTTAGTCCTTAGCACGGAAAACAAAGAAACAAAACCCCAACACCACGGAATGTGCCTTTTCAAAGGACATCTACCCCAAATATGGAGATTCGGAAGTACCCCCCCACACACTGAAAGGAACACACCCCTCCCAGTCCGTCCCTGAGCCGGACAGCAAGTGCGGGCCAGGCACGAATATGTCCTCAGCACGCTGCCTGGCTGCTGGGCTGTCTGCTGCTCAAAGGAAGAGCTGTCCTTTGGGTTCTGCAAAAAAAAAAAAAAAAAACACTACACAAGCGGGTATGGCGGCACACACTGAAAATCTAAGCACTTGGGAGGAGGCCAGAGGACCCCAGGTTCAAGCTCAGGCTGGGTAACTTAGTGAGACTCTGTCTCAAAATAAAAAATGAAAAAGGTCTGGGGATGTAGCTCAGTGTGAAGGCCCTGAGTCGATCTCCAGTAACAAAAAACAAAAAAGAACAACAAAAAACTCAAAACTACACACTCACTGTGTGCCAGTTAGCGCTGGGCCCCTCTTCTATGCATTTCTAATCCCCCTTATTGCTTTTGTTTCTGAGAAAGTTATCAGTAACAGTGAGAGCTCCGTGCCAATTAGCTTCACCACAGCCCCATTCAGCGGGTGCTGTCACAAGGAAACTGAGGCTCAAAGAAGGCAAGTGCCCCCAAGGAGCTACCCAGTGAGGCCGAACCAATGTGGCCTCCTCTCACACCCGGTGACACTGCCTTGACGGTGCTGTCACCCACTCGTGCGCACCAGCGTTCAGAGACCCTGTCGTAAAGTGAGAGGGGAACAACAGTCCTCACAGCAGCAGGGTGTGGAGGGAAGGCACCTTGATAGCTACGCCCTGGACGAGGCTACACCATGAACCCAGAGGTGGAAATGGCCCTGGCTCTTTTGCAAAGAGAGCGGAGGAGGAAGTAGGGGTAGGTGCGTCAGTGTGGGTGTTAGAGCGCATGGGTTACCACCCCTGCTCTCCCCCTTACTAACTAGCGGAACAGCCTTAAGCACCAGCTGTAGAGGAAGCAATGCCTCTCTGAGTGCTGGAACGACTACCAAGTGCCGTCTGGAGCATGTCTGGCAGGGTGCTGGGCCCATGCTGAGGACGGCCAATGGCTGTGTCCCTAGAGACAGAGGCGGAAGCAATCCCTAGAGACTAAGCAAGAGGCTCACGCATTCTCCAGCTTTCCCCACATCTCCAGGGAGCCGAAGCAGGGCCCCTTCACAGCCCACGTACCTCTGCTTCCGGCAGATGGCCAGGTATAAGTACAGGAAGGCCAGCACAGCCAGGTGCTCGGAGACGGCGCAGTTCTTGGGGATGCCCGCCACTTCCTTCAGCTTCTCCACTTGCTCGGCGGTGGGTGCTGAGACGTCACCTTGCTCTGTCACAACACAAGCAAACACAGTGGGTGAGAGGGCCTTGGGTGCGTCTATAAACAAAATATAAAGAAACCGAGGCACCGCTGGGATCCGAACGTGGGAAGACACGAATTTATGGTCCAAGGGCCACAGCCAAACCCATCTGTTGGGAGCAGGCGGACCTGGGCCTGGGTCTTGCCTGTGCCATTTGTTGGCCTTGAGTGTGTGACTTGCTCTCTCTGAACCTCAGTTTACCTCCTTGGTAAAATGAGATAACTTATAAGACCTCTTCTCAGAGTTACCATGAAGATACAGTTCAGCAGACTATGTGAAACTCTTAGCACAGCTCCTGGTACACAGTAAGCACTTAATTAACAGTAGTTTAAACCCACGCGCACGCACACATGCACATACATGTGCCCACGGAGCGCACGCTAGGTCAACCACTGAACGGCTGGGCTTTCACCATCCAATGGACAAAAGCAAAATCAAAGGTAACACGAAATTACTCCCCAGATACTTCACTCCCTCAAAAGATAATTAGCAGGAATGGAAACTCTAGTAAAAACTGTGCAGGTGAAACGCTGCTTGGGCAGGAGGAAAGGTGAGGTCACAAGTTTTTCCCAGTGACATGTCGGGGCCTGGCCTTTCCTCTGTGATGTTAAGGAGGCTGAGCAAGTCTGAGCAGCTCACCTCTAGGAGTCCCCCCTCACGCCTCGGGTCAGGTTCTACAGATACATGAGATGGAGCTGGGCGCACCTGTATCAGGAAACTTCAAGGCACCCATTCGGCATTCAGCAAGTATGAGCTGGATGTAGTCAGGGTATGTTTAGTCCAGCCAGGCCTGTGACACCATAGAGCTCTGCAACAGATGCCCATGGAGCTTTAGGGACCAGAGACTTGACCTTTCTGTCTCTGACATGCTGTGGGGCCCAAGGCCCTGGACCACTGAGTCTTGACTTTCACATCCATAAATGGGGCGAATAACATCACCGACTTGCAGGGAAGGCTGGAGAACTACGAGGACGCTAACATGTGACCTCACTTCCGGTGGCACCTGGCGCACGCGGATAGATGTCAGTGACAGCTCACTGTGGCTATTACTATGGGGAGGGAAGAATGATGGCAGATCCTTGTAACCTAGTAGGCAATGGGTCTCAAAAGGCTCGAATTTCCTTTGCCTCTGATGTGAAGTAGATGAACAAGCCCTTCCGTATGTGCTGTGCTTGGTGTCTCAGCCCTGCCCCCAATTCCAGTCCTGCTGGATCCTGAAAGCAACACTTAGCCAGGCAACACGAGCCTGCTTCCTGGGGCCCAGTAGGCGAAGTGACCGGCTCAGGCCCACGAGGAGCGTCAGAGGGACTGGGACAGGTGTCAGCATGCCTGGCTGCTTTGGGTTCATGAGAGGGACCTACAAAAGAAGCAGCCAGTTCTCAGGGAACATTGCTGGGCGGCCCTCGGCACCACAGAGAGCAAGTCTGAGGTGCCCTGGCTGGCCACTTTCCGAAACATGCTCTACGAACTCTTAACTGATGGGTTAACCCAGGTGACACACCCAGCCCCTACCACCACGGCCGGTTCTCTTCAGCAAAGGGGCTGGGCCAGGAATCCATCTGTATTAGTAAGCCAGCAGCAACCTCCAGCAATCTGGGAGTCCCAGATGCGTATGACAGGATGAAAAGAGCTGCTGAAACGATGTTTGTTTTTTTGTGGCACTAGGATTGAACCTAGCACTCTACCACTGAGCTATGTCCTCCGTCTGAAGTTTTCAGCTCTTGTTCCATCTCCAATGGGAGCGGCTATAGCTGCTCACGGAGAGCAGGGTTCAGGTGCAGTTTGGAAGAAACCTCTGAAGGATTCTTGCTGAGAAACCCTGTTGCCAACGTCACAATGTCGGTCCCAAGAGGAGACAGTAGACTGAGAACAGAAGCCAACTCCAGCTCCGGGGCTGATGAAGACAACAGGCTGGCTTACGAGTGGCCGTAGCCTTCCCCATGCCACCAATAGCAGCACAGAGGCTCCAATTTACCAGCACAGAAAGACAGTCCTGATACACTGAAGGCAAAAGTACCTACCCTTTTCTGAATAGCTGAGGTGGCCTGACCCAATTTTGGTTAAAAAAAACAAACAAGGTATCTCCCTATGTCAATCAATCTAATCATCTATTTACAGAAAACAATCCAGGAGGATTAATACCAAAATGCTTAGGGTCACACTGGAGAGGGGGAAGCAGTAACCAGTGATTTTTTTGTCATAATGTCCCAGTACTATGTTTTCCAGCAATAACTATAAGTTACTTTGAAAAATTAGTTATTATAATTATTATTATTACTGTACTGGAATGGAAGTCAAGGCTTTACACGTGTTAAGCACACACTCTACACTAAGTTACATCCTCAGCCCTATTTTTAATAATTTTTAGTTATATAAGACATCAGTGCATTCATTCTCTTTTAGGTTCTCTGCCCATCCCCCAACCCTAGGACTTTCCCAGAGGAAATGATCACCACTGTCACTCTGATATCCGTCCCCTCGACCTTCTTCTGCACTTTTACACATTGATTTAGATGAAAGTATGTGTACGTCATTTTACAACTTACATTTTTTCACTTAACAGTAGGACTTGATGATCTGTCCGAAACAGCTCACAGAGATCTTGGACATAGTTTTATATTTTTAAATTAAACTTCATAATGAATGAAGCGAATTTTATGGGGTCATGATAGAAAACACCCCTGGAGTGGCTGACTTCTGAGTCCCTTGGCGACAGCCTGGAGTAACTATTTAGCTGCCTTCTCTCCCTGTCTTCAGGACCCAGGCTCTAACCACACTTGGGTTTTCCTCCTGGCATTTACCCAGAAAGCTCGTGTCCAGCAGCTGAAGGTTGGCCACATCCCAGGTCTGCTTGGTACCAATGTTTGGTAAGTTCAGGGTCACTTGCCCATTGCTGTGGGGCTGAAGCCTGAGGAATGTTCTCAAGTTCAAAGCCACTGCCAGGGCTACCTATAGAATAAAGGGGAAAAGCAGTAAGCTGAGGGTGGGTGGCAAGGGGGCCAGTGCCAGTGTGCTGGGAATGAGGACAAATAATAGCATACTTGCCACTCTTACCCTTAACAGACATTGCTAATCAACTTTGGCTCACTCTCCCACTGAGCCTGGGCACAGCCACTACCACTCAATTAGGAGTTGTATGTATTATATCTGCCTTACCCCAAGCTTCAGAGCTTCTCAACACCAGAGAATTGCTTCCCCATAATCACTACATTTTCAAAGAGAAATACAAGTTTAAAACATAAATTAAGGGCATAAATAATAGCAGTTGGAGTGCAGGAGTGAAAAAAAAGCATGAGCTTTGGGTTTACTCTCAGTTCCAAGGTGTAGGGAAACTGGTCAAGTTAATCAACTCTTTCCTAAGCTTTAGGTTCCACATCTATAAAACAGAACACAAGAATGCACCTCTGGGGAAGCTGTAAGATTAAATGAGATAGCCAGGCGTGGTGGCGCACGCCTGCAATTTCAGCACTCCGGAGGCTGAGGCAGGAGGATCGTTGCAAGTTTAAGGCCAGCCTGGGCTACAAAGTGAGCTCAAGGCCAGCCTGAACTGCATAGTGAGACCCTGTCTCAAAAAAAAAAAAAAAGATTAAATGAGATAATGCATGTTTCTAACTCTTGCAAGATCCTTTTTCCAACTTCTAAACAATGGAGCACCCCAAAACTCAATCCTCAAACTTCTTTTGCTCACCACCAATGCTCACTCCCTAGGTGATTTCATTCCACTTGTAGGGCTTTATGTGTCATCTTTTTGCCCCCTGACTGGGTGAAGCCAGAGAAGTTCTTCAGTGGGCATCAGATCTGTCGTTTCCTTGCCTGGCTGGGGAAAACGCACGGTTCCTCTCTGATCTGCCCCTGAGCTATGCCTCAGCCTCAAGTTTCCCTTTTTATCTTCTCACAAGACTGATGCCAGGGAGAAGTGGTACCCAATCTTTCAAGGCACTGGGGGCTTTTTACCTTGCCATGGACCACGGCATGCTCCCCATGGAGAATGACTTTCCCTGGAGCTGACACCACCAGCACTCCTGACAACATGGCTCCAGGGGATCCTAAAAGGGAGAAAAGAACAAAGGTCCCTAGATGTTAGAGCCAGAAGGAAGAGCTATTTGAGGAAGCCCAGTTCAGGCTTATCATTATAACAACAAGAAGCCAGGTGTGGTGGGTGCACATGTGATCCCAGCACTTGGGAGGCAGGGGCAGAAAGACTGTGTGTTCAGGACCACACTGAACTACACAGTGAAACCCTGCCTCCAAACAACAACAGCAAGAAATGGCAGCTTCCGTTCCACACGTGCTATGTGCCAGAATGGCAGTACAGTGTGCCAGTCAACTGGACAAATGAGAAAGATCTGGGCTGGGATCCCAGGTCTTCCACTCTCTAGTGATGTCATCTTAGCCAACTCACTTACAAGGCTATGAACCTAGGTTTCCTCACACATTACGCAAGGGCAATAATGAAACCTACTTTAATGGCTCGTTAGGAAGGTTAGATTAATGCAAAAGGAACCCTTAGCAGCGTCTGGCACATTAATCGCTCGATCAGTAATAGTTACTTATTACTAGCTCTGTTCTTGGCTTCACCTCGTATTACTACCACTGTTGAAGGTTAAAATTTACATAGAGCTGGGGGTGTAGCTCAGTGATGGAGCGTTTGCTTAGCTTGAGCAAGGCCCTGTCTTTGATCCCCAGCAGCGCAGAGACAGAGAAGTAAAGGGAGAGGGGGTGGGGAAGAGAAGAAAGGGAGAGAAGAGAGACATATCTACAAGGACCAGACAGAACTCTTTCCTGGACATTGAGGCTGCTTCCTATGTATCACAATTATAAACTAAGGCTGCAGAAAACACCTGTTACGCCCCATTCCGCACACTTCAGCGAGGATTACTGCACGACAGAGTCCTAGATAGTGGCGTGCTAGGTGGGTAAGTGAGTCAGAGAAGCTGGGAACCCGGCCTGGGGTCGTCCTGGGTCTCCGATCTCGCTCCACCCGGTCGCGTGACGCCTGCCTCTCACCTGCCGCCACCACAGCCCTTCCGCACCAGATCCAGAACGGCTCCTATATTCCGCCATCCCAGAGCGCCAGCCCGCGGGAGGTGGACCTTCTTTAAGTCCAACCAATCAGAGCACGCGAGCTCACCCCCTTACCAATTGGCTTGAGCATTAGTCAATAGGTATCGCAGCTAAGCTGTCAAAGATTTTCCCGCCCTACTCCCCACTTAAGCCAATGGAAAGCAAGTTCCTGGGAGTGTCCCGCCCTGGTGCGAGAAGTACGGACCAATGGGAAATGGGAGTTTGGCGGTGGTGCGGCCGGTTATGGGTGGAGTCACCCAGGGTTTGGACGGTAGCCTGGAGAAGTCATCCCGAGAAGAGATTCCCGCCCCTTCTCCCCTCGAAAGCTCATGGCTGTCTGGGTTACGGGAGGCCGTCTCGGCCTCCGCGGGTGCCTGAGCACCTACAGGCTACTTTGTTTCCGTTTCCAGAGCAGCGGCTCTCAGGATGTGGAAGACAAGGACAGGTAAGTGGCTGGGAGAGGAACTCGAACGCCTGCCGTGAATCACGTGGTGTTGTCGCTAGAGTGCGTCATCCTGGTGACGTTCCCTCTGCCGTGACGTCACCGTGGGCGTCGTGGAAGCCAGAGACCAGGATTTCTTTACACAAAGCCTACGGAATCCAAGCTATCATCTGTCAGGGCGGGGCATGCATAATCCCACTTAGGCCAGGAGGATCATCGTTCATATTTTGACAAGAGCAGTTTGTTCTCAAAGACGGTGAGACACAATATGATCTAAACACGGCTGTCCTCAAAGTAAACATGGCTTTACTTTGAAACTTGCACCCTGACTCTCAGACCTCAGAACCTGTAGAATACCACGAATTAACAGTGATTAATGTAGTTGATACGTCTAGTGATTTAACCTTTTACATTGGAAAGTCACATTTTAAATCTATCTTATCTATTTATGTACCTATACATATATATTTAAGTAGTATTTCTGTTTGATAATGTTGGGGTTTTTTTTGGCCTAGGGCTGTAGCTCAGTGGTAGACATTTGCCCGGCATGTGGAAAGGCCTGGGTTTGATCCCCAGTATCAGAAAAATTTAAAATGAGGAAAAAAAAATTACCAGTTTTCAAACCTTGTTTTGGCAGTTCTTCATTTCTGAGTATACTTGAAGCCTTATGGAATGGAAGTGGCCCGGCTTTATTTTCCTCCAGAGGCCTTAATTTGGTAGTTAAAGGGAGAAGTTTTGAGCGAGTAGAAGTAACATTTGGGGTTCTGGTGTAGGATACTCTTGCACATGAGCCCCAGCTCTGCCTCTCCCTGCCTAGGTGACAAGAGGATGAATCTTATTCTGTGAGCTAATTTCCTCAATAGCAAATGAAGGTAATAGGTAGTGCTTACTTTTGGGGTCGTGGGAAGATCCCAGGGATACTTCAGGAGATGGCTGATGCCTGTAATCCTCTGTGGTGCAGGAGCTACTAGAAGTGATCAGTTCCGCAAATGTTTACTGAACGTCTACACTGAGCAGTGCACTGCATCAGCTACTGCAGGTGGAGATGTGGACATGACACAGAGCTTGCCCATGAAAGGCTTGCAGCTAGAGGAGATGGAGGGCAAAGGCATCAGTTAGAAAGTGCCATCCTAGTAAGGGGTAAGTGCTGCCACTGAGTGCCAACAGTAAGCTGGGACCCCCAGACGAAGGTGCCCCTCTATGTGAGTCATTCCCACTTACCAGCTCTTCATGTTTGTTCCTCATTAGCATACAGCCTTCCTTGAAGACACCCAAGATTCCCAAGATTTACACCAAAACAGGAGACAAAGGTAGGGGAGGAACGTGGGTGAAAATATGACAGACATTGTTTGAAAGTTTTTCCAACTTCTGTATAGCCAATAAAAAGTATATGACAGATCTGAATATATATTACAAAACTGTAATGTGAAATGAAAAATGCCCTGGTACATTAAATGATAAAAACAAATTGCAGAGCATGGCATGATGGTGCACACCTGTGTGTAATCCTGGCATGCTGGGAGGCTGAGGCAGGAGCATTGCAAGTTTAAGCCCAGCCTGAGCAACTTAGAGACTTAGTGAGATACTGTCTCTAAAAAATAAAAGAGGAGCTAGGTGTGAAATACATACCTGTAATCCTACCACTCTAGGAGGGTAAGGCAGGAGGTTTGCAAGTTCAAGCCTATCCTGGCTAACTTAGTGATTTAGTGTGATCCAGCCTCACTATAAAAAAATAGAATTAAAAAAATCTGGAAAAAGCTAGAGATACAAAGGTTCTGGGTTCAACCCCCAGTACCATAAGAAAAAAGGGGGTGGTGCTGAGGATATAACTCAGCATTAAGATCTTAGGTTCAATCCCCAGTACAACACACATGCATGCATGTGTGCACACTTGCACATGTGCGTGCGCACACACACACACAAATGGGTGAGGGTGTGATTCAGTGATAGAGTGCTGACAACAAGGAAAAACAAATTTCAGAATAATCCAAATACCCTGAATCCACCTAGATGAAAGGGTATGTATATGTGTGTTTTCAACATGTTTGAAAGTTTATACCTTTTACACTGTGCACTGTTACCCAGTGGAAACTGAGTTATGAGAGAGAATGAACAGAAGTTTCCACCCTTCTATTATTTTTGAACAGTAAGCACATATTATTTTGATAACTTAAAAAATACCAGAATATATTGTACAGAATATATTGCAGAGATCTGGGCATGGTGGTGCACGCCTATAATCCCAGCACTCAGGTGGCCGAGGCAGGAGGATTGCCATGAGTTTGAGGCCAGCCTGGGCTATAAAGTAAGCTCAAGGCCAGCCTCAATTACATATTGAGACCCTGTCTCCAAAAACAATGCAAACAAGCAGACGCAGCTTATATCAGATGATACTATTTTCTTTTCTTTGCAGTACTAGGAATTGAACCCAGGGCCTCAAGTGTAATAGGCAAGCCCTCTACCACTGAGCTACATCCCTAGCCCATTTTATTTTATTTTGAGATGGAATCTCACTAAGTTGCCCTGGCTGCCCTTGAACTTAAATCCTCCTGTCCTAGTAACTGGGATTACAGGCATGCATGACCATACCTGGCTTCAGTATGATACCATATTCTGAAGTTTAAAATCATGCAGCTCAGTACTAGCTATTGCTTTTTAGATTTATACTTATATAGTAAAAATATAAACATATATATAGGGTATACTTAATGCCACTGAAGTATATACTGAAAAAATATCAAAATGGTAAATTTTATGTTTTTTATATGTGGTACCATAACAACAATAAAAAGAAAACGGGTAGGAATAATGTTAGGTGGTGGTGTCCCTGGTCTCCAGCCAAAGACCTCCAGGTACAACCTCTAGGCAAACACAGTGGGGAGGTGGCACATTAGAAGGCGGGAGGTAGGCTACTGGGGACTGTCCAGCCCTGGTAGGTGATGCTGTGGAGGACTTACAATAGGGTTGGGCTTGTGTTAGCTGCTTTGGGGGAGGATTAAGAAGTGGGTCTTTGCTGTGGGCTGGATACTATCAGGAATCAGGGCTAATTCTATAAATGGGTATCTTAATATTTCCCTAAAGGTAAGAGAGACAAAAGCTGCTAAAGCCGTCATGGTTAAAAATGCCACAATCACTCACATCAGCCAGGAGAAGGGGCGCCTGGTCATTGTTATTTAGACAATGTTCTGTGCTCAAATGTGATTACACAGTGGCCTTCTTTTGTTTTGCTCCTGATCTGTCACCATCACAGAGTGGCCTGTCTGATGGTACTCTGTGAAATCATTTATTTATCAGAACACCATGGCCTACCTGTGAGTGCCAGGCCAGCATGGTAGCCCCCACGCTGATAGTCACCTAGGCAGAGGTGTGTAGAGGACTCCGATTGCGTGTGAAGTATAGTAATAGTGTATGTGTGATGTGACAGATGTTTTAGTCCTTTAGCAGGATGGTTAGTATGTGATTTTTCAGTTTGAACTAAGAGCTATCAGGAAGAAGTAAGGCTAGTGGTTACCCTTAGGAGTGGTGACTGAAAGGGAGTCCATAGGGGTTTCTAGGGTGCTGGTCAAGTTCTGGTCTGGAGCTGGGTGCTGTCCCAGAGGTCTGTTTAATTAGTGGCAGTTCACAAGCTGTATACCTAGGATATCAACACCTTTCTCTATCTCTGTTGTACTTGATATTGAATGGTTTTTAAAAGAAAGAACAGCATATCTGGGGGGGAAAAAATCTAATTTCAGGGGGCTAAATGTTTTTCCGCAGGGTTTTCTAGCACCTTCACGGGAGAAAGGAGACCCAAAGATGACCAGGTGTTTGAAGCTTTGGGAACTACAGATGAATTAAGTTCAGCTATTGGGTAAGGGATCGGCCTTAAGGTTGGGGGTGAGCCGGGCATCAGTGAGTGTCACGACTCTGAAGCTGTTAGCAGCGTTAGGCCATCCTGGACTTTGTCCACCCTTGAGCAACCAGGAGCATGGCTGGTTAGCTCCAGGAGGCTGCCAGGCCACAGGCACCTCCCCCTTTGCCCCTGCCTATGCCAACGTCTGCCCCTCCCCCACTGTCACCATTTGGATCTTCCCCGCCCCCATCCATGGGTCCCTAACTTTGCAGGTGAGTTGGTTGTGTCTCTGCTTCTCGTGGCCTCTACTCTGGGACCTGGGCTGGCAAGGCGGCCTCCATCTGGGATGGTCCCACCATTGAGGAAGACGGAAAGAGGTCCTGGGGAAGCTCACACTGGCTCTTAAAAGCTTCCCAGGGCGTGGCACATCCCATGCACACCTCACTGGCCGGAGCCAGTCTTGTGGCCATGCCTGACATCAGTGAGGGAGGAGAGACGCACATACTGAGAACCATAGTATGTAGTAGAAATAGTGTCCATCTCTGTGTTCTAGGGAGAATTAAAGAGAATCGTTGTCTTAATTTACCTGTTCATGCCAACCATTTCTCAGTAGCGAGCAGATTGGATGAGATTTTCAGGACCGATAGTGGCAGGAGTAGATAGTCTGCCAGTAGGGTGGAGAGAACCAGGCCCTTGGGGTTGGGGGAGGCCAGAAGATGAAGTGGGCGGAGAAGGGAAGATGAGTTCCAGCGTCGGCCATGCAGAGTTAGTAGATCAGTGAGCCAGTGTCTTCTAGCTGATATGGGGCAGGAGGTGGTTCTGGAGCCTCAATTATGGATCCTCCCTCTGTCGGGCATTGACTGAGCACCTCTGCGCCAGGCTTTGCTAAACCTAGCCTCAACCCTGCCTTCAGGGGGTCACAGACAGACATGCCCCAGAGCATCTTCCAGTGAGCAGGTATTTCTTGATACCTGCGGGGTACCCGGCACCAGGCACACTGCTGTGTCACTGCTGTGAGAGAGCCAGTGTTCCAGCCCGCACAGCCCTTCCTTACAGTTTAGCAAGGAGACAAGCACTGTACATCCAGTCCTGGGTTTGCTTTTGTCCTTCTGATTGGAAGATGGACTAGGAAGATGCCCTCGTTTTCTTTCATTTGCTCCTTGTCTTAGTTATTTTTCTCATTGCTGAGACAAAATACCTGACACCCAAAGTTAAAAGAGGAATTTTAGCTCACAGTTTGTAGGGGTTCAACCCATAGTTGGCTGGTGCTAAGGCAGGGCAGTGTGACAGTGGGGCATTGCAGAGGAGAAATGGTTCATGGCATGGCAGGCAGAAGGCAGCAAGCAGCAAGCCTCCTTTTCACTTTTATCACATCCAGGCTACAAGTCTGTCGGGTGGTTCCACCCACGCCCAGGGTGGCCTTCCCATTATCTATGCCCAGAACTATGCCAAACCAATCAGTGGACTAATGTAATACCACACAGCCTTGATCCCAGCCTCACGCACCCTAGATCCAGCCAACTCCAAAAAGCCCCACTTATGAGCACATGAGGCTTTGGGGGGACATATAGACACAAACCGTAACACTCTTTTGTGTCTGTTTTCCCTCTGCTCTGCCCTTGACTCCTGCTCTGCTGCTTTCAGGGGCTCTAGGCTGTGGAAGGCAGCAGCAGGGACTGGCGAGCAGAGAGAGGTGACCCTGTCCCCAGCACTGGGCCCCTACCCAACTCCCTGCTCTGTGGCTCTTGTGTGGCCCCCAAATCCAGCACAGTCTGGGTCAGTAGCACCGGCCCCTTCCCTTGCCCCTTTGGTCCCTGCTCTTGCTAGTCTCTGCCTCTCATCGTCAGTTTCCCTAACTCTGCTCAACCTCTGGGAATTGTCCCTTTGCAAAGGTCTCCTCTGGGAGTCCATCTAGTGCACTGGTTTTTTTTGTTGTTTTTTTTTTTTTTAGTGCACTGTTTTCTGCCAGGCTCCCAACTGGCACAGGAAGGGAGTGCACACTTGTGGGCAGTTTGTTCCCTGCCTCAGCCTGCCTTACCAGGGAACTCATACTCAGTCTTCAAAGCCCTACCTTCAGCATGCTTCCCCCAGGCAGTCCTCCCTGCTCCCTAGCTGAGGCTGCATTAAGCTTCCCTCACTCTGTCCCTCAGAGAGTACTTACCTCGGTTTACAGCTTCCCGTTCAGCAATGTAGTATTCAACTTGAACATCCCCTTCCAGCTGGACAGAGACTGTGTAACCTTCTGTCCCCGCTGAATCACCAGGACCCAGGCAGGGGAGGCACCCGAAGGAGTTGTTGACTGGAAGTAATGAGTATAAGTAAAGGCATTTTGAGAAACAAATACCATATCCAACTGGAAGCTTGTGGTGTTGCTGTTGTCAGCAAGAAAAATAGCACCACGCTGTTGTAACTGAATTAGCTAAATGGCCGCCACCTGAGAGTGTATTGTCTTACAGCAGCATTGTACTAGAGGAAAATTCTTCTTCCTTTTTCTTCTCAGGTTTGCTATGGAATTAATCACAGAAAAGGGCCACACATTTGCTGAGGAGCTTCAGAAAGTAAGTAACATCCTCTGTCCCCAAGATGAGATTTTCCAGCTCTGCGGTCTGGAACTCAGTTCATCATGTGACCATCACTTCTTTGTGTCACCCAAGGCTAGACACTCTTCCTCAGTAGGCCTCAGTCTCTTCACCTGTAAAATAGGGGTATGCAGAGTTCATCCTCCCTCGCGGGTGAGGGGTGAGGATCATACTGGGGAAGAGGAGTGTGCCGTGCAGCAGTTCTCAGCCGCAGGTGGGGACACATGGGCAGGCCATCTGGGATGACGTTTTGGGTGCTCACATCTGGAACAGGAGTGTGCTAACATCTACTGATACATTCAAGGAATGCAGCTACATAGTCTGCAATGCATGGGGTACCGCCCACCAGAATGACCAGAGGACCATGTGCCCAGGCTGAGCCACCAAGCGCAGTGAGCCTCAGCCCGCAGCCCTCGCACCCTGTAGTATCACTGTGGCTTTCCTTGCTTACAAAGGAGCCGGGCCCCTGGCCCCCAGAGAGAGGGGAGACAGGGTTTCCCTCTGCACGTCCCTGGGAGTCGCCTAGGCTGGAGCCCTCTGCTCCCATCCCCCCACATGCCGTGGCCCTCACCGAGAGGTAGAACTGTCCCATCTGGTCCCTGGGCCCAGCACCTGAGAAACAAGAACTGTCAGTGCAAAGAAAAACAAGAAACTTCCCAAGGGCCTAAGTGCATGGCAGCTGGGGCTCAGAGCCAGCAAGGTTCCTCCTGACCCCCACTGCGGCTCCCGACGCGCACGGGGTGCCTCTGCGCAGAGAACCATGGCCTGCTGCCCAGCCGGCCACAGGTCAGCCTTTCTTCTCGCCTCTTCCCTCCCCAGATCCAGTGCACATTGCAGGACGTCGGCTCGGCCCTGGCCACTCCGCGCTCCTCTGCCAGGGAGGCTCACTTAAGTAATTGCTGCAGCTGTGTGGGTGGTCAGAGGCCCCGAGGACTTTCCCCTGGGGTTCCCACGGGCCGCTTGGCCACTGCCCATCACTCCTGGGGGACACTCTCTGGGCCGGAGGAAGCCATCTGCGGGACACTGGGCAGAAGGGTTGTGGGGTGTGTCCTTGATGCTCTGGTGAGCAGGGCCTCATGCTCCTGCTCTGTGACTCCTCAGAACACACGGCCTTTGAGGCGGGGCCCATCCTGGAGCTGGAGCAGTGGATCGACAACTACTCCAGGCAGCTCCCGCCACTCACTGCCTTCATTCTGCCCGTAGGTATCACTGCCTCACCCCGGGGGTGGCTGCGGCCAGGCACATGGACAAAAATGCATGGGCTTGCAATAAGTGCCCTTCCTCTAGCTTTTACCAGTGACGAGCTGTGTGCCAGCACCCTAGCCCCTTCAGGTCCTCGCTCCTCCCTCCCTCCGCTATGGGTGCAGATACCCAGTGGGTGTGCCGGGCAGGGCCCCTGGAAGCAGAACATGGCCAAGGAAGTGGGCAGACCTGGATGTCCGAGGAACCCTGCTACAGCTGCCCACTGCCCAGCTCTGCCCAGCCGACACCTGCTTTCTCCTTTCAGTCGGGAGGCAAGAGCAGCGCTGCACTACACTTCTGTCGGGCTGTGTGCCGCCGAGCTGAGAGACGGTAAGGGCACGGGGCTTCGTCTTAGCAGGCACACATGGTGGATCAGCCCTGCACCACCCAGACCTTCCGCCGGCGCCTCACTGTGCCAGAGCAGCCAGCACAGACAGGCCCCTGTCCTCTGAGCCCCACGTTGCAGAGGGACTGGCGGAGGAGCGACAGGAAGCCAGTGAGAGGTTCTGGGCCACACAGCTGCAGGGGAGAAGGAGGTCTGGAGGGGCTGCACGGCTGCGGGGCTCTGGGGGAAGCTGTCAACAGCCCAGCCACCTGCTGCCCCAACCCCTGCTCCAACCGAGCATCCGGAAGGGAGACTCCCACCCCGCCCCCACGCCCCACCCAGCCTACTTTCAGCCTTTTGAAGGACAGCTTAACAAGAGGGACTTGAAAAGGTTCATTCGTACCGCCCTTCGGCTAGCTGCCACCCAGCTTAGAGTGAAGATAGAGCCCCACCTTGGTACAAAAGCCAGGCTGTGCCAGGCACTCCGTGTTCACAGTCTTACTGAGTTCACAGAGGAATCCTAGGACAGGCGGTGGCAGCCCCAATTTATAGGAGTTGTGAAGTGGACTCACAATGTCAGAGAGGTGACATTGTGGCCAGGCTCAGCGGCAAAGTGCAGATCTGGGCTCGGGCGTATCTGGGTCAAACCCTAACCTCTTTCCAGGGCCCCACATCACAAAGGTTTTATCTTATATGAAAGGGTCTCAGGTCAGACAGATCTTGAGGATCCCCAGGTAACAGAAAACACTTTGGCTGCAAAACAAAGGATGTCACTTGTACAAAGCCATCCACGTCAGCAGTGCTCATAATAGAAAAAAGTTGGAAACAACCCAGAGGCCCAACAAGGAGGGCAGCCAACCTGACAGTGGGCTTCAGTACAGCCACCGGGCCACAGCGAAGGGATGACCAGCGGGCATACTGCCAGGTGGGGCCCCACCAGGTAACAAAGCTTCGTACAAGTGGAGGTGCCTATGGGGTAGGCCTGGACCACCTCCTGCCTGGGCCACTAGGCACCGTGTGACCTTGGACAGGGCAAGAACCCCAAGGGTAGGTGTGGAGACAGTGCCTCCAGCACAGGTGATGTGGCAGCAATGATGTACACATTGTAAGTGCTCAGCAGACCTCTTCCCTACTGTCTGAAATATCTGCAGACTGACCGGGACCCTGGAACACAGAATCGTGGGTGAACTGAAGTGCGAGTTTGCTTGAGCATTCAGAGCCAGATCCCTCCATCTTTGAAAGCTGGAGTGTGACCATTCCAACGGATACAGGGAGGACCCCAGGTCCAGTGGCACAAAGGCCAGCAGGCTGGGATGTGGGGCAGGCCACCTCCCTCTGCTCCCTGTCCTCCATCCCTCCTTGGGCAGGCCGCATGTCCAGGAATGGGGTGCATGGCCCATGAAACCCTCCAGTCATGCATTTCCCATCTCTGGTGCTAGCTGGGTTTGTCCAGGTAGAGGCTGAATGACGGCCACTTGGGAAATGGGGTCGAGGCCCCAGGTGCCCAAGTGTGTTAACCCTTGCCATGTCGTGTGACTGTGTGCTTCCTGTCTTTCCAGCGTGGTGCCTCTTGTCCAGACGGGAGAGACGGATGCAAATGTGGCCAAGTTCTTAAATAGGTACTTAACACGGAACTTAAGAGTCCCTCTCTAAAAAGCCAGGCACTTCCGTGGGGCAGGACAGCAGTCAGCAGGACTGGGGAACAGTACCGGACTACACCCACTTTCTGCTGCCCATAGGTCTGTGTGTGCCTGCCATGTGCTATGCGACAGACACTGTTGCTATCTCTGATAAAGTTAAGCTGTACTCTGGCAAGCGCAAGGTCGTGAGTTCGGTTCCCGGTACCGGAGAAAAACCAAAAAAAAAAAAAAAGTTAAGCTGTACTTGGGAGAGACTGCTATAAAAGCCAGCAGAAATAAGCCTAAGTACAAAGGAACAGGATATAGCAAGGGGTGCCCTCAGAGGCATCTTGATGAAGCCTGGCGGGGGTCTAGGAGTCAGCTCCTCTCAGCCAATCTCCCCTCCCTGAGAAGCCCCAGGCAGGACCTGTGAGCTGGGCCAGCCCAGGTGGACACCACCCACCCCTGCCTTGCAGTCAGCTTCCTCAGTCCAAAGCCTGCCCTCATAGTGTCCGTGCAGCCTGGCTTGCACAGTACAGTGTGGGTGTAGCTGGAGCTCTGGGGCAGGCAGAGAGCTAGGGGGCAGGAGCAGTGGGGGCTGCACCCCAGGAACTGTACTGGTTGTGCAGAAAGTGACAGTGGATTCTCCTCCCACGGGGATGCAGCCTGGGCTTAGGCAGTCTTGAGCAGCTCCACAGCAGCAGGCCCCCACCCACAAGCCCTGGGGAACCTGGTGGTCTGTGATGGGTTATGGTCCAGGGCCATTTGCCCCCTTGGCAGATTTCTGGAGCCGACAAGAAACCAACATACCGCTGCCCTCCAGGACCACATGGTCCGAGGGGCGATACCCAGAGCAACCTGCTCTGCAGTGTCCAAGAGGGAGAGCTGCGGGCTGCCACAGCTGGGGAGGAGTGGACTGCGGGTCAGGAAAGGCCCTGTGGAGCTGACCTCACAGGGTAGGAGCAGGCAGGAAGGGCCAGAGGAGGTGGTAACAGATACTTGGTGGGAAAGCCACAAGGGGTGGGACAGATGGGGACAGCTGAGCACCTGAAGGGCAGACGTCGTGTCTTCTGTGTTCTCCCCACCGCTTTCTCTGCAGAAAGCCTCCGAGCTAGAGGCCCACCACCAGTGGTTCTAAGAAAGGAGGAACTTGAGTCTGGGCACTAGGGTCTTATAGGCCAGTGCTTCTCAACCAGGGCATTGGCAGTTCTGGAGGTGCTTGATTGTCTAAATTCTGCTGGCAGCCAGTGCATGGAAGCCAGGGAAGCTGCTTGGCACCCTCGATGCACAGAGCGGCTCCCACCACGAAGGACGAACCAGAGGGGCTGGGGATTTAGCTCAGCGGCACAGCGCCTGCCTGGCAAGCGCAACGTCATGAGTTTGATTGATTCCTGGTACCGGAAAAAAAAAAAAAAAAAAAGGACGAACCAGAATGTGTTTAGTGCCAAGAGTGCTACCTACAGCCTCTCTGCCCCAAGCGTGGCCTTGGGTGCAGCAGTATTAGCCTGGCCTAGGCTGGAATTTAACCTGCAGAATCCTAGGCCTGGCCCTGCCCTCCTGCATCAGGCACTGTACATAGCCAAGATCCTGGTGACCTGTGTGCTCGCTCCAGTTTGAGAAGCCCCATTTCACACTCGAAGCTATGAAATGAGCTCATGGAGTGGTCCCAAGTTCCTTCTCTGAGGATGAGGGCCAGCTCAGCCCTTGGCTGTCACGAAAGCTGGCCTCACATGGCATCCATCCATCCTAATTGGCCAGGTACCGCATCCCTGCACGATGCTCCTGTAGATGCTGTGGCTTCGCACTTCCTCCTTGAGAGCTAATAGGTGGGACCTGGCCGGCAGTGATCTCTCGTTTCACACCCTTCCTCTCCTTCTCTCTGCCTCTCCAGACTCAGTGACTATCTCTTCACAGTAGCCAGATATGCGGCCATGAAGGAAGGAAATCAAGAAAAAATATACAAGAAAAATGACCCATCAGATGGAGCTTGAGGCTCTTGGAGATAATGGAAGGGGGGCTTCCTAGGCCCCTCCATAGTGAGGGTGACAGCGACAGTGACAGCAGGGGAGAGTCTGCCTTCTGGGATTCTGGTTGCTGAGGGGCTCGCCTGAGGAGCTGGAAGTGGGTCTTAGGTGCAGACTCAGCTTTGCCTCACACTTGCTACTACTTCCCTGGAGGGACTGGGGCCCTCGAGACTTTTGTCCCTGCCTCCCCAGGCTGGCCTTGGTCTTGGAGGAAGTGGGAATGAATTCCACATTGCAGAAGAGAAAGGTAAAGTGATGGCTACCAAGTGAAGGAGCCAGGTGGAAGAAAGAATAAATGTGGGAAAGGCTTGAGCCGTGTGTGTGTGTGTGTGTGTGTGTGTGTGTGTGTGTGCGCGTGTGTGTATGCGCGCGTGAACATCAGAGAGAAAGAGGGACTGACTCATGAATGAGCCCTCCCGCTGCCGACTAAGGTTGTTCAAGGGTTTGGAATGGTACCAGAGGCCCTTGGAAATGTAATTGTGATTTACCTGTGCCAAAGGGGCTGTAAATGTCACATTTATAAAGGGGAAGGGAAGCAGGATTTGGAAGTTTAGTCACCTTGGAGCCACTCATCACCGCTGCAGTGTGGGGAAGGGCCGCTGCTGATTGACAGACGAGGCCCCAGAAACACTGGGGTCTAAGTGTGGCGGGGCTGCGGCTTGGAGACTGCTCTCCAATGTGGACAGGGCCCTGGGCAGAGCAACGCCATTGCTAAGACTGGCCCTTCCTGCCCTGTCTGAGCGAGCGGCAGGCGAGGGAGAGTGCGTCCAGCTTAAGGACGTGAGATCTGCTTCCGGCAAGGTGACAGCAGTGAGACTTGTCTGGCTAGTTTAGTTGCACTGGCCAGTTTCTGCCTCTGAGACCTGTGCCATGGCTGTGTTTCATTCTGCTAGTCACCACTGCTCCCTCCCACTATGTAATGACACTGCCGGTGCCAGCTGTGTCCTTGGAAGAGGAATATTTATGAAGTGCAGAGAGGCAGCCCTGAGAATCTAAGGACTCCATGCTGCTAATTGCAGGAAGTGGCTTCAGAAGAGCAGGCTCCTTTCGACGCCAGGTCTGGGATGCCTGGAGGACTCCACTCAGCAATCATTTATTTATTGAGTGCCTGCCTAGCAGGGGACTCCACCCCAGGCATAAGCAGGCTGGTCATTCCCATCGTCTTCCTCGCCAGCAATTTGGCACATGTTAAATTCTCAGCCACATGCATTTTTTTTTGTCTTTTGAGACAGGGTCTTGCTATGTAGTTCAGGTTGATCTTGAGCTCCATTTGTAGCCTAGGCTGGTCTCGAACTTGCAAGGATCCTCCTGCCTCAGCCTCCCAAGTGCTGGGATCACAGGCGTGTGCCACCACGCCCAACTGTTGTGTGCATATTTTTGCAGGCAAGGCCAATACATTCTTGTCTTCTGGGTTCTTTGGGAGCAGGCAGGCTGCAGTAGCTCTGTTGAGCCCTGGGCAGAGCGGGTAGGTCCCAGTGCCCAGCAGTGAAGAATACCCTCCAGGAGGTGGCCATGGCCATTGCTATTCCAGCTCCCGTAGTTAGACCCCACGCCTGGCACAGGGTAGGATGCTGTGTGTGTACCGGCAGGATGGGCGACAGGAGAAGCACACTCGTGGGGTTTCCCTGCCCCGCCATCTTTGCAGACCCAGCCAGGACACATGTTCCAGGAGCTCGCAGTAATCACTCAGTTCTGCCCACATTTCCAAATCTTCCTGGAAAGGGCAGAAACTGCAACAAAACAACACGCTTGTAACTTCTAACTGTGGCAAAAATAAATACTGAGTGTGCGCCATATCTTAAAGCGATCTTTGAAATGAGGCAGCTTGCCAGTACAAAGCCTGTCCCTCTTAGAGCAGCTGGATGTTGGTGTTCAGGTTCCCAGGCCCACCCACTGGGTCCGTCTTCCCCTCCACCAGCAAACATCTCCCAAAGGCCCACCAGGAGCAGGGCAGGTGTTTCTCTGAGCCCCCAACCCGGGAGGAACAGAAGACTACGTGGACACAGGCTGCGCTGCGTGAAGCACTTGCCCTTTTGAAGTTGCTTCTGAAGCATTAGTAGAGCCCCAGGCAAAAGGAAGAGTGTGTCCACCTAGATACACTGATCCAAGTGGGAAAAGTTAATGAAAGCCCAACAGTCAAAAAGCTTGTCTCTGTAAAGCCCTGTGTTGCCCAATCTGTTTGCACATTTGATCAGTGGTCCCCTTCATGCAGTGATACGGGATTGTGAAACCAACATGTGTTTAAAACACTGGCACCTGGTTTATTGTAAACTTTTCTTGTTTTTTTTTTTTTTTTTGAGGGGAGGGAGGCATAATGTGACTTCTGAAAATATCGTGTGTAAACTCCTTATTTTTTTTACTGAAGTTTTTGGCACTCCCGTATTTATTTGTTTGCTGAGATGGGAACTCCCTGTGTTGCCCAGGCTGGCCTTGAATTTTGCAATCCTCCTGCCTCAGCCTCCCAAGTAGCTGGGGCCCCAGGCTTGTGCCAGTAAACCTGGCCGCTCCCATACTTTTTACCCCTGAGAAAGTGCCTTGTCCTGGTGCAGGTCAGGCTCCCTGCAGCAGTGCTTTAGCATCATTACTGTGGATGATCCTCCATAGCAGCAGTGCCAGGCCCTGAACCACACGGTCTGCACACATGGTCTCAGCTAAACCTCACAGCAGCCCTGGAGGGAAGCACCCTACATGTTTTGCAGGTGGGGAAACTGAGGCCCAGGGAGCTGGCCCAAGATAGTCTTCTCCCACCCTCCCCACGGCTGCTTGACAGTCCTTTTAATCACAGCCTGGGCTGCAGCAAACAATGCCAGGCACTAATAGATCCTGCTGTCTCATTTCTCAACCTAGTTTCCCTTAACTGATATTTCATGGCTATTGTTAATGTGCATTCTTCACTGAGTAATTTCCACAGCCCGAACTTGTAACACATCCCAATGACAAACGTCCCCAGCTCTGAATCCCCTGTCAGCTGCAATGTCACCCTCGCCTCCTCCCCGACACCTTCCGACAGCCATCCAGTTTTATGAGCACTCTGTCCCAGCAATCACTACTGAACCTTTAAGAATCCAGGCGCATTTCAAGTTTAATTGAATAAAATTCGTTGTATAATAAATTCTGCATGAATGCTACATAAATCAGTGCCTGGAAGGATTTGTGGCTCATCCTTCCCCCCAGATTGGGCTGGAGAACCTCACTGGCAGTACTGAGGCCAAGCTGGTCCTGTCTTGACTGCTGGGGATAAATTCACCTTCGCAGCCTGGTCGGGTCTGGTTGTCACTGGCCCTGGCCTATTGCCTTTCTTCTCTGAGAGTCCCTTGTGGAAGATGGTGCTTAAATCCAAGCAGAGCAAGGGATCGGGACCCAGGAACTTTGGGGTTGCCCCCTGGGTTACCCATTGTGCAGAACTGACCAAAGCCATCATTTGTCGCCTCTGGAATTGTGATGACATGTGCACACACCTGTTCACAAGTTTACCTACAACCTTGGAAGTCCATGGAACACCCAGTTGAGAAGCCCTGGTCTCAAATAACCAACAGAAACCAGACACAGTGGTGCATGCCTGTAGTCCCAGCTACTTGGGAGGCTAAGGTCGGAGAGTCGCTTGAGCCCAGGAGTTTTGAGACCAGCCTGAGCAACACAGGGAGACCCTGTCTCAACAGTGACAAAGCAACCCACGCAGCACCCCCTTTAGGAGCCAAGTAGGCACTCACAGGGCTGCCTTCTCCAGGAGCCTTTTGGCGGGGGTGGAGGGTGGGGGCAGGGGAGGGTGTTCATACAGCCACAGCCTTGTAGGAAGGAGGGAATACTTGGGGCTGGATGGCTTTGATGCCCACCAACGGTAGAAGTGCAATGAATGGCCTTCAAACACACGGCTTGTCACTCTGAGAGGCGGACACAGGAGGATCGTAAGTTTGACCTCACCGTGGGCAACTTAGCAAGATCCGATGTCAAAAAATGAAAAGGGGGGGGCTGGGGATTTAGCTCAGCGGCAAAAGTGCCTGCCTGGCAAGCGCAAGGTCGTGAGTTCGGTTCCCGGTACCGGAGAAAAACCAAAAAA